CTCGTTCCCTAAAGCTGAGCCACCTGGTACACCACCACCGGACCCAGGTGGCTACTGAGCATATGAAACGGGGCTAGTCCACAGTGAGATGTTCTCTAATTATAAAATACACACTGGATTTCAAAGACTTAGTACAAAAAAGCATGTAAACTCTATTAACAATTTTTAGAGCTGATAATTTTGATATATATTTGATATATTGAATTAAATAAGCTATTATATTAAAATTAATTTCACCTGTTTCTTATTTTTTCTAATGTGGCTACTAGAAAATACAAGATTACTTATGTGGCTTGTGTTATATTTCCATGAGAGAAGCACTCTCTCCACACTGAGAGCAGGCAGGACCCTGGAGTTCCCTACCCAATGACACCAAACCTCTTTTCAGTGCTTGTGTGGGGCTCTCCCCTGGGCACATCCTCCCACAATGTGTGCACCCATAGGCCCTAAAGGTGGGCAGAGCTTGGACACGGGTGCTGTGTTCACATCTCTGCAGGGTGAGGGATGGAGCTGGAGCGGGAAGAGAGCCTGCTCTCCCCACAATGCCACACCCAGTGCAGAACCCCAAGGGGTCTGAGGATTCTAAATTTCAGTCAACACTTGGGGGTCATTATAAAAGTGTATTTGTCAAGACAGGAGGAGAGTAGGTATTTTATTTAACAGTTTGTTAGCTTAATTATAACTTAAATATTTAGATATGTAGTATGTGGCCTCTATTTATACTCTTGCCCTGGTTCAAGGGCTGATTCTGATTTAAGTATTTAAAGTTTCTCTCGCTCCTTTCTCCACTTCCTTCATAGTCCTCCCTGCAGGGCCCATCCCCCAAATTCTTCCCAGAAAAGAACACAGTGTTCAGCAGAGTTGTTTAGCAAACAAAGCATGGATTGTTTCTGAGAACTCAAGGCCTTGATCAGAACACATTAAAACTCATCTGTTTTGGAAATTCTAACCCTTAGTCTTCTTAGAGGTCCACTTTTTCTTTACGTATATGGAAAGCAGTCAGATTACAGGCATCTGCCAATTAAAAACCCCTTCCTAGAAAAATAAGAGGGAAGTTTGCCTAGAATCCACTTCCCTCTGGTCTTAAAATGAGTGAAACAGATACCTGGAGGCAATGTTTAAGCTAAGAAAGAGGTAAGAGATCAAAGAGGGGAGTGGATGACCTTTCCTCCCTTTACCTTCATCGGAAAAGAAGGCAGAGGAGAGAGCAAGGTGACAACACACTGTTATGGAGGGAAAAACTAGAAATCTGTCTCCTACAAAATAGAAGACTTAGCTCTTTCACACTAACAAGTGAGACAAATAAGTTATCAAATGTGCCCAGACCCAGATTCTAGAGTAAAACTTGAGGGCTTTGGAAGAATACAAATTTGGTGAAATATTTTAAATAATTCTACTTTTAAAACGAGTATTACAGTTCTTAAACCTTAAAATTAAATCCCTGAAATGGAAGTACATTATATTCACTGAGGCTACAGTTACTCCTTCATAGCTGTTCGATACAGGTAAACAGGGGATGATCAGAGCATCACAAAATTTAAGATTAATAAAAATTATTTTAATGATTGTAATCATTACAGTTGTCAGCTTAGCAATAGCAAGAAATGCTTCTTTTTGATGTTTTAGACACTAAAAGGACAAGAAACTGTGTGGTTTAAAAAAAACCAAAAAACAAAAAACACCTGCTACACGTGTACACACACCCAGACTGTCAAAGCTAAAGAAAGTTAGAGTGACTCTATCTTCCTTATTTCTCAGAGCTAGCAAAAGTGAGAGCAGAAGGGGACTTCGATTTCCCAGGCTCACAGACAAAGAAACCAGGCTCAGAGAAATTGTGTGACTGTCATACACACCTTGAATCTTGCCTTTTGATATCAGTACAACTTTCATCTCTCCTGCTCTTCTTTTCCTACATCTTAAGAGCTAAAATGTAAGTAGATATCAATCACTAATAATTCTAAGTCACTAGTCAAAGAATGGTCTCAGAGTAGTGCATGGAAAGCATTCCTTTTTCATCTTCATTTCCCCCATAAAGGATGGCATTATCGGCTCTGGGGGACGATGAACATTTTGGACAAGATGTACCTTTACCTTCAAACAAATTCAGGCACAGCCCAATGCTCCCAAACTACCCAACAACCTGAAAAGACGGACTTCACTTTC